CCTGCCCCCAAAGGGAAACTTCACCTGCCTGTGGAAGATGCTTGTGAGTAAGCTACTCAATCTGATTAGCTATTTAGCTGGCAGTAACACAGATGCGTAATCAAAAGGCTACCTCAGCCAGACTTTGCTCTTTAGGATTTCTAAGAAATTGCTCAATCCTGTACCCTAGTTTACCCTACCCCTTGTAATCAATAAAGTTCTCCTTTTTGACTGGTGTGGGAGACTTATTGAGGAGTGGGTCTAAATTATGCCTAAGAGACCCCTTAGGTCTGCGGACTAAGGGAGACTTTACTTTTTGCCCCCGGACTTGGGGAAGTGCCCCAAGTGCCTGTATTGGGTCGAGTACCCGTAGGACTATTAGGCCTGTGTTTCCCCGAGGATACAGGGCCGAGACAGTCCACTCTTGGGGTGGTGGCAGCACATTACCCCCAGACTAGCGAGTGTGCTCCGGGAGAGGGGTTGGCCGGACATAAGGCACCCCTAGGGAGGCATTCGGAGCCTGGAAGGTGGTCGGGCGCAGGGAGGTGGGCGGCTCAATGCAGGAGCGCCCCCTACTGGCCCGCCTCATGTGGTGGTAGCAGTGGGATACGAATACCCAGCTGTTTTCCTGAGGTGGGGTCCCTGCACCCACCACAATTGCATTATAATTTTTCCTTCCAGCAGAGAAACATAGGGCAAGCAACAGCATTTGGCACCATAAGGAGGCTTTCAAATGACCTCCATCAAACTGAAATTTGTCAAAAACCTAGGGGATTATTATGATTCACACATTGTCCAGTAGCACTATTCAGGGATTCAGCTAACATAATACCAGATAGTTTTAAAGTCCCCCTGTGTCTCATGTGGATCAAAATGTCCCTGCCTGCCAATTTTTGAGTGCGAGTGAACACCAATAACTAAAAGTTTACCTGAGAATCCTGAATAACTTTCAAACTGCACTTCAGTTTACACTGGCTGAACAGTGAACTCTGCTTTCAATCCACAAGCAAAGATCCTTAGTTTAAAAAAACACTGAAGGTTGCTAAGTGATAAAACTGCTTGCCTTATGCATCATTTATAACCACAAGGAAATTGGTGACAGAGATTTCAAAAAACATTAAAATGACTCATTTTAAAAACTTACACGTTTGCAAGAGTTCTTACTCAACTTATTGATTGTTAGACCAGAGCCCTAAGCTTTTTAGAAGCAGGAGGATTTGAACTGTTCTTTTGAAATAACATCTGTGTTACAGCTGGATTCTTATCAGGTTTTATTGCTACACATCCATAATTAACTGTATACATACAGAGGTGAGAGTAGAAAACCTGGTTCACAAATCTTCACCACCTGAACTGACGGAAGATCTATGACAGTTGTTAACTATAGAGGAAACTTCTATGCTCATTCTAGGATGGAAACAGCCAGTAGAAAAGACTATAGATAGTACTCAATTCTGCTTGCTTTGAAAGCAAATGAACTTTCTAATTTCATCAACAGAAGCGAGATTGGGCCAGCACATCCCGCTGAAATCTATGGGAGCAGTACTAGGCACTTATCCTATCCACAAGGAAATGACTGTGTTTGTTTACGACTTTTTGTTTGAAAATATAGGAATTTTCAAGAAGTTTTAAGTACACGGTGACTTTGAAAAGTAGCAGCAAGCTTGTTTGGAGCTGAAGGGAGATGTGAGTAAATTTTGAAATGACATCTCTCTCAAAAATGGCTTGATAATTCTCTTCAAACTTTGCAGGAATGTTCTCCTTTGCCTTTTCAATACAACCTGTGTTACAAGCCAAACTTACAGGGCAGCAAGAACAGGGCTTTAATATATAGGATGGTTGTCTTTTTCATTTTGAAGCATTTACTGTTTCTTTGTGATGTGCCTGATGTATTTTTCAGGAACAGAAGAGAAAAAAGAACCTGTTTTCATCGGAGGTTAATATGAATTTGTCAAGTTGATCTGCCTCCTTCTTCAGCTCCAGCTGGGAGAGTGACTCTTTGTCTAAATGCAGAACAAATTAATAGACTCACCAGTTACTCCTTCGCATTCCTACTCCAGAATGTGTGTTCATGTTACATGAAGTTTCTCAAAGGCTGTGAGGGGAAAATGTTTGTAGAGATATTTCAGTAAAATATCGGCAGCATTTCATAGCTGGGTTTTTTTTTTTGCACGACTGCAGTTTTCTTTACCATCCCTTAACACACTGCCCTTGACAAGTAGTAATTTTGTTGTCTCTGTAGCTGGCTGTTGAAATTCATGAAGATGATTTTTGTCAGTTTCTTTATTATGAAAACAGAGGTGAAAATCATGTTCCTTTTAGACCCACAGAAATTGTTTGTGATCCCTCAGAATGACACTTGAACAGTCTTCTCTTGTTGTCTAAGTAATGATTTATACGTAGAATATTTTCCCTTTGTGGAACAGACACTTTAACAGCTGGAAGCTCTACTGCACATGACAGCTCTTCCAAGGTAAAGCAGTTTACCTGAAGCCTACTCAAACAGTTTAGATATAACAGTGTGGAAAACAGGAATCCTTTAGGGGCCTCTCATGTAACCCCTGTAATTAAGGTTGTAAATCACTTTCCATTATAATTTCCCATTTTTCATACCTGCTGATTTTTTTTTCCTGAAACATTCATCTTTTGAGTTGCAATTTTCCATGTTAGGCATCTGCCAAAGTTGAGTATTTCCTGTAGAACATACGAGAGCCCTGCAGCCATTCTTAAGTTACAAGTTTCCAGTGACTCATCTGGTATGCACTTATTTTGAACAGAATCTGTCTGTAATTTCCACCCCCATTGATATCCATAGTATTATGGCAGGCTGCACACACAGTTATTGTATCAAGATTAATGTTTTTTTCCACAGGCATCTGCATTGCACCAGGAATTATATTCACCTGAACCTCTTCACCTCTTTTATTCTGCGTGCTGTGTCTGTCTTCATTAAGGACTCTGTGTTGAAATGGATGTATAAGACAGCCACTCAAGAGCACCAGTGGGAAGGCCTTATCTCTTACCAGGTAGGGATGCTGCCCATTGAGGTCAAGGGACCATCACTATGTCTGTGTTAGTATCTGCAGTCTCATGTTGTGCTGAGGTTTGTCCAAAACGTACATTGAAACCCAGATGCTTTCCAGAGTTGGGTTCTTTTGCAGCTCCCTCCATGAATGAGAGTTTGTGAACTATCCAGGGGCAGAGAGCCACAGCAGACAGCTTTATGGGATTGCTGAGGGACTCCAGCTGTTTTTTGTGGCTTTTAGTTCCAAGGGTGCCACTTCTCCAGTCAGCTGCATGAAGAAGCAGTGCCCTTTGAAGCAAAAGCTTCAGCAAACAGCTGAGCAGCTTGTCATTAATTCAGATATCCACTGTAAACTAAGGGAGTTGCAAACCACCTGGATAGGAATGATCTGAGTTCTACTGTATTTCTTTACCTCCCTTGGGTTTGCCACTGAGTTGTTTTCCATGTCTTGCATAGTTCTGGTCATTTAGCCCCAGCCGAGGAAACATTGGGTGGAGTCAGGTTTTTTTTCCCCCTTGTATTTGTAATTACCCCTCACCTCCTTTTCCAGTCCGCATTTGGCCTTTCTAGGAGTGACTAAAATTTTGATAGATTTTCCATGACATCAAGTGACACTTTTCTCACTGTAGCATGGTGTCAGGATAGGAATGTCTATTCAGTCAAGTGAGCCGTTGAGCTGGTCTTTCATTCTTGAGTTGCTTTATCCACATACTGTATACTACATATACAGCACTAGTCATCTCCCATTTGTTTCTTGATTTGGTGGCCAAGTGACAGGGTTAATGAGATCTTGTATAGTATATTTATTATCGTACTCCATGTACCCTTTCCTTAAAAATTAGCCCTCTGAAACTGGGGCGCATGTCAAGCATGGAGACTCAGTAAAATGGCTGCTGCTTTTTTTCTTCCCTCCAGCCAGCCACATGGAAGGAGTGCAAAGTTCAGTCTTCAGCAGCAGCTACAAGTTTAACCCTTTTACAGTTGTTGTGGAATTGGCAGTAGGTTTTGGCTTTACAGTCCAAAGCTGCTGGCAATTAGGAAGTGACTGTGAGAGGGTGAAAACTGTAGTTTTTGCCTGTGCAGGAAAGGGAGGGTAAATAAGCTGATGTTAAGGCTCTGTCTGTATTCCTTGTAACCATAGCTCTGAAACGATCTTTTTTTTCCTTCCTTATTCTGTCTTCCCCAAAATGAGGTGTGTGTTTTATTGGAGGCATGTGGTAAGTGAGAAAATAGTCTTTGCTTCCCTGGTAGCCCCTTTGCTGTAGTTTACAGGCCTACAGTGTTTTACAGTCACATTGATGCATCAGGCAATACAGCTTTGCCATTACAGGACTTTTACCTGTGAAGAATTGATGGTATTGTAGCATCTGGAGTAGAATAATTCTTAGGTATAGAATTACAGTATCTATGAACCCGGAAATTTTCACTGACTGAATTTGGTGATCAGACAGTTTTTAGCTAGTCATTTTCTTACTTCCTACATATACTTTTCTTTCAATCCGTGACGTGAAACAAGGGAAAATACAGAGCAGCAATGAATGTATAAAAAAAGAGGGGAAATGTTCTCCAATACAGTTACCAGCTGTGTTTTGAAAAATGTTAGCTGACCTTCTGTCATTGCAGTAGTTAGATGTGGTCCATTTAGACAGGGCTGTTGGGGATAGGGAGGAGGACAACTTAGTTCCATTTTCCATTCATGTTACTGGATCTCCTGTTTAGTCTCTGTAGGCAAAATCCATATTGATCTCATAGGAGCCTATATAGGACTTTGGCAAAATTTAGATGCTGAAGTTCCAGAGCAATCCAGAATGGCCTTGCTCTAGGAGCCATAAATAGTGTTAGGCTCCTAAAGTTGTTCAGTGTTTCTTTCTTTGATTGCAGCATTCTCTGGACATCTAGATTTGGGCATCTATAAATGTGCATCTTTCTGCTTCATTCCCATCTAAGCTCTGTTGTGGTCTGGAATGGATCTGGAGTGGCACCTAAAAGGCTCTAGAGGGGCTGGATCACTAGGCATCCTTGGAGCACATCTGCTTTCACTAGCAGTACATGGTGGTGGTGTCCACCTTTTGCAGAACAGCCAGTGGTTGGAGTGTTTTCCCTGGACCTGAGAGTCCTGAGCTCCAGGCCCTCCTCAGTCTTAGGAAATTCCAAATCAAACTAACATCTCCTGCCTCCCAGGAGAGCAACCAGTCTGCCAGGCCATCTAATAGCTTGGCTGGTGGCACTCCAGTTGAAGTGGTGGTTGAAGCTGTGCCACTGGGAAGAGAGGGAAGCAAGAGCCTTGTGGTCAGGAGAAGAACAAGCTGGAGGTAGCCTGACTCAATAACCTAAATAGTTGGAGCATTCACCTGGAAGAGGCAGAGTCCTGGGTTCCAGTTTGTACTACCAGGGTGATTTCTGCTTTATTAACTAGTGACTGTCCAATGTAAAATGCATTAACAGTCCTGGGAACAGGGACCAGAATTAAGAACACTCCTGTCTCAGGGGAGTGTCTTCATCAGTAGACTCTAGGCATGCTAGATTTGTAGCTCCCTCTGTTCATTCTAGGAATCTAGGCACTCAACGTAGGCTTCCCAACTCTTTTTATCTGGATCACTCTCTTGGCACCAGGTGCCTAATTTTGCTTTGCAATACCTAAGGTGAGGTGCTCCTTGGACCTGGCTCCTTGTCTTTGCAGCCCCTTCTGCAATCACTGAAATGCGCTTTCTGCTCAAACAGGAGTCACTCAGTTGCCGCCTGGTCTTTGTGATGATGCAGTATTTTGTGGCTGCAAACTACTACTGGCTGTTGGTGGAAGGCATGTACCTGTATACGCTCCTGGTTCTTTCGGTTTTTTCTGAGCAACGAATCTTTCGGCTTTTCCTCTGCATTGGCTGGGGTAAGTCGATCTTTGTTTTTATTTATCCTCTTCTTGTTGCATGCATTTGCCTACCCCAGGGGTCAGCAGCCCCTGGCACATGTGCCAGAGCATGGCAGGTGAAGGCATTTTGCTTAGCACAGGTGCCTCAGGGTGGATAGCACAGAAAGGGCCAGAGCTGCGCTGCCACAACAAAAGATTGGGCCCCTTGCAGCTCCCCTGGCATCTGCCCCTGGCACAGCAACATCTTACAAGTCAAGGTTGGGGGTGGTTGCTAACCCCTGTTCTACACCATCACTGCAATGACTACCCTACCCTACTCCATGGAAACTCAAGACTTCACAAAGCATACTGAGATCCAAAACTCCTGTAACTTTTTTGATAGGTATAATAGTAACTTTTCCCACTACACATTAGTTGCTTGACCTGAAGGACCTTTGCACTGTGACTAGAATGGGATGAAGCTGGTCAGGCAGGAATGGAGCTTATGACAGTAGCTCCTCAACATGTGAACAACATCTTAGCCACCTATGGATGTGAATGAGTAATTACCTAGTACCAGTGCAGGAAGATAGGTGTACACATGCTGACTGCTTGAGCTATGTGGATATCACTGAAGCTGCTGAATGAAGCTAACAGTAGGTTAGCTCTACCAGCTGAATAGAAAAGGTAGATTGAACAGTTATCTAGAGCAATGAGGTGGTCAGTGACTTCGTTATGCATGTGCATGAGAAATTAGGGGCTGTGATGGATGGGATAAATTTCAGTCCTTTGAGATAGAGCTACTTGTGTTGGAAATGCTAAACTCTGATATTTTTTGTGTCGCTTCAGTAGGTTCTAACAATATTAGCGTTCAGGACATGTTTTTTTTTCTTTTGATAGGCAAATCTATCTTCTTCCATTCTCTTGTGTGAGAACTTTTTCTCTCTTTTTCCCCCCCTGTTTTCTTTCTAATTGTGAGCTGTCTGGAAAACGGAAAGTAAACTTAAGTAAACACAGAAAGTACTTTCAAAAATACAAGTTGGAATTTTTAAATGGCTTTCACAGTGTTCTTTTCTTTTCTGGGTTTGCCTCCCATAAATATTCTAACAAGTCACTTTTATCAGTGGAATTCATATAAATGATCCATTGCAATTGTTCACCCAGTTCTACTGTACAGTGATATATGGGAGGTATAAGCATTCTGATATACTGATGCAAGCCAATAAATATAAATAAAAGATCCCTGCTGGAATGTGGTAGTCAAAGTTCCATTTCTTTCTTGTCATACGTAGCACATATAGTCAGAGCACATGTGTATAAAATTATTAAAAACATTTCATAGCTCAAATTATATGAGTAGGCATGCCCTTCTTGAAAACAATGTGTCCTAAGGCATCTGATTCATTAGTGGGGGAAAGCAGAATAGGGGGAAAAAGTCATCCATATCCTGGTAGAGTTTAAAAAAAAAAATCCTTCTATAAAAATATACATTTTTATTTTTGCCTGAAACTTTTCTTATTGGAATTCTGCCTCTCACAGGAACAAAAGATGAAAATGATGGGAAAAAATTATGTTTTGTTTCTTCTCCCTAATCTTTAAAGTTTTATTACTGTAGGTTATGTCATTTCTGGATGATTTTTTGAGATTTTGAAAACAGCTGATTCTGCCAGACTTGGCATGGAATGTCCAGTCTTCACCCAGACTTCCTAGGAAAGTTCTGCCAGTGTAATTCAGTCTTCATTTCCACAAATTCTTGCTCTTCTAACCCTAGCAACTTACCCAAAGCCCTGCTAATGGTTCCTCATCCTCAGAGGCAGCAGCCTGTTATTTCATTCCTAGAAATCCCTCAAAATATTCATCACCTATTGTAGGAACTGGATGGTAATTTTAATAATAGCTATTGGAACAAGAGAACAAGAATAATGTCTCTGTCCCTCTTTCTGCCTTGCTTGCTATGTTTTCTTTGTGCATGCAAGACCTCCATTCAGATGTCTCTGTTAAGGACACTCAGATGTATTGTGAACAGGCTTATGGACATGAATTTCCTTCAAAGAGACAAGATGTTCCTGATCTAGGTGACAGAGTCCTGTTCTTTGAAACAGGTTATCAACTGTTAAACTATCTCCCTAGCAACAGAAAAGAATTAATGATTTGAAAAAAAAAATACAACTGACATGTTCAGCTGCTGCCCCATCCTGCCACCTGCCAAACAATAGGGGATCATGGACAGGCAATGACTCCAAAGATTATGGGCAGACAAATATCTTAAGGAATTGACTAGTGCTCCTGCAGGTAGCTGTTATCTAGCAGTAAATTAGCAGATGAATCTCACCTGCTAAATCTGAACCAAAATGCAGACTTCAAATTTTGCCAGAGCTTGTTAAATGATGCATTTGATGTCTTGAGGCCATTTTCTCTGGGCTTGAGTTATCTCCAAGCAAATTGCAATCTTTATTAATTTGTTCATTACTCACTATTGCCCCATGAACACTTTTTACATCAAAATTCAGTGTCTTGGTTGCTCACAAACTTCTTATAGTTATTTACTTGGTAATTATTTCTTCTTCTGTAATTGATAGATTCATAGATGTTAGGGTCAGAACGGACCTCAACAGATTTCATAGACATTAGGCCTGGAAGGGACCTCGGAAAATCATCGAGGTCCCTTCCCCTGCCCCAGGGGCAGGAAGTCAGCTGGGGTCACAGGATCCCAGCAAGATAAACGTTCAATTGACTCTTAAAGGAGTCCAGAGTAGGTGCTTGCACCACCTCTCAGCTACCCCAAGAAGCGCCCTGGTGAACAGAGCATTTCTGATTTCTTGCAGTGTCCCCCTAATGAATTTGTAGGCAGCAACAAGATCACCTCTCAGCCTTCTCTTGAGGAGGTTGAAGACATCCAGGCCCCTCAGTCTCTCCTCATAGGAGCCCCTAACCATGTGAGTGGCCCTCCTTTGGACACTTTTGAGTCTATCAACATCCTTCTTGAAGTATAGCACCCAAAACTGGACTCAGTACTCCAACTGCAGTCTGCCCAATGCCGCATAGAGGGGAAGTATCACCTCCTTGGTGCTATTTGTCATGCATCTACTGATGCATGATAAAGTGCTGGTAGCTTTGCTGATGGTTTCATCACACTGATGAAATGGACCTGTGTGCTTGATTACAGAAACCACATATTTTCTGTGGGCACTGATAGATGTACAGCTCCCCAGTCTAAATCATGGCATTTCACAGAAAGCACCATGAGTTAGACAAACCCTCCTGACCCAGCGGATATTTGCTGTTGGGTTGGGAAACTGGGGATCGAGCTCTACTTTGAAGCCAATCCATCTGAGGAGCTGAGTGTCTGCAGCCTCTTTCCCCTAACTCCACCCGCCTCCTCCCAGCCCCAGTGCTGTCTACTTGATGGGAGTGGGGAGAAGGGAGGGAAGGGAGTTTTCGCTGGGGTTTACCCAGCCTGTGCTGGAGTGGGGGTGAGTGGAGTGAGATGTTTCTCTCCCCCTGGCTCCCCAGGTCAGGGGTTTCCAACAGGGGTGTGTGATACCGGGTGCCAATTCAATTTGGAGGAGATTCGGCCCAATTAGGTGGCCAAATCTCCAAATCTGAATCGAATCAGGGGACCAATTTAAAAGGTCTCCAAATAGATTTGAAGATCTCCGAATCGATTCAGAAAAGATTCAGAGAGCTTCGGCAATTTGGGTATTCCCTGCCGACTGCAGCAGGGAGCTGGACCTGGATTCCATGCTGGTAAGTAGGGGGCAGGGAGGGGGGACTGGAGGAGGAGGTAAGGGATCATGGGGGGACCCTTGCCAGGCCACATCCCCTGCCTGGTCCCCCAGGCCCCCTGAGCACCCCCTGACCTCCGCCCACTCTCCCACCCGCTCCGCCCATGACTGCCCCACCTGCCCCAGCTCCCAGTTGTTTAAAAAAAAAAGCCCCCACTCACCAGGTGCTGCCAGGTGGGGGGCAATCCCCACTGCCCCCCACAGCTCCATGCTGCATGGGGAGCTCTGCCATGACCCCCCCCCCCCCCCCCCCCCTCCCCCCCCCCCCC